TGGTTAGTTCCCACTTGATAACCCAAATAGGTAATAGAACCTTTACAAAAATCACTTTTATGCAGGTTTACAGTGAAATTAACTTCAGACAATTTTCTGAAAAGGTTAGTCAACTGAACAATATGCTCTTTAAAGGAATCAGAAAATACTACTATATCATCTATGTAGGCCTCACATTTGTCAATGTCTGCAAAAACAGAGTTTATGACACGCTGGAAAGTTTGCCCAGCATTTCGCATACCAAAAGGCATACGTTTATATCTATAAAAAACATTAGGGGTTACAAAAGCAGAGATTTATTTTGCACGGTCTGATAAGGGGATTTGCCAATACCCTGACAACAAATCAATTTTGGAAATAATTTTTGCTTGACCAACTTTATCAATAACATCCTCTATTCGAGGTAATGGGTAAGAATCAGCTTTGGTGAGTGCATTGACTTTTCTAAAGTCAGTCACAAATCTGAAAGATCCACCGTCTTTCGGGACCAAAAGGCAGGGGGAACTCCAATTGCCAAAACTGGGTTCAATGATATCATTTTTTATCATGTAATCAATTTCATTTTTCACCAAAACAGTTTTTTCTGGGTTTACTCTGTAGGGGTGTTGTTTTACGGCTTTTGCATCACCTACATCAACATCATGAGGGGGTACCTTTGCTTCTTTGGGAACATCCCCAAAAATGGAGGGAAAGGTCTCAAATAACTGAGACAATTTTTGGCTTTCCTCTGTGGATAGATGTATAAGGTGGTCATTTAAATGATCAAAAACGAGGAGTTCAACAATTTTGGGGGCTTTAGTTTGTCATGTATCACATCATCAGAAACATTTGATATACATACAGGTAAAGTAACCTTAGCTGGGGAATGAAAATTGGTACAATCATCATAATACTTTTTCAATGAGTTAACATGATACACCTGCTGTTTCTTCCTCCGGTCTGGAGTATTGATAACATAGTTCAAATCATTCAATCTTGAATGAACCGTGAAGGGTCCACAGTACCTTAAGGATAAAGCATTTTTAAGGTTAGGCACGAGAACAAGGACTTCCTCACCTGGATTGAATGTTCGTTTTCGAGAACTCTTATCATACAGTCCTTTCATCCTCACTTGGGCCTTTCTTAAGTTCTTGTGAGTTAATTCGCACACCGCTTTCAATCGGACGTGAAAATCGTCAAAGTTCTCCACTGGATGGTTACTGGTACCTGTCCAACGCTCGTGGATCAGCTTCAGGGGACCACGGACAGAATGACCGAACACAAGCTGAAAAGGAGAGTAACCTAGAGATTCCTGAACACAGTCTCTAGCGGCGAAGATAATCCATCGAACAGTTTCATCCCACTGGGTGTTACTTCTAACGAACGTTCTCAGCATGGTTTTTAGGGTCTGGTGAAACCTCTCAAGGGCACCTTGAGACTGAGGGTGATAGGCTGAACTGGTGACGTGGGTAACGCCTAGCTTGGCTAGCGCTTCCTGGAAATGATGGCTGGTAAAGTTGCTGCCTTGGTCGGTTTGAACGATTCTAGGTAAACCGAAGGTAGTGAAGAACCGGGTCATGGCTCTGACTACAGTCTTTGCCTTTATGTTCCGCAAGGGGAACGCCTCGGGAAAACGGGTACTTGAACACATAAAGGTGAGTAGGTACTCGTTGCCCGCCTTGGTTTTTGGCAAGGGACCGACACAGTCCATGATAATTTTGGAGAAGGGTTCTTCTAACACAGGAATCGGATCCAACGGGGCCTTAGGAATATTCTGGTTGGGCTTCCCGGCCAACTGACAGTTCGTGCATCTTCTGCAGTAACGCGACACATCATTTCTCATTTTTGGCCAAAAAAAAAACAGTTCTTTGATCTTCGCTATTGTTTTCGTGACTCCTGGGTGCGCCGACATCGGGTGGTCATGTGCCAGTTTCAGTATTTCCTGCCGATAAGGTAGAAGGACCCACAGCTGGTTTTTACCCAATCATGGTTCGGCAGGTAAGGCATTCACTGGTACAGAGCGACGAAAGAAGAGGTCGTTCTCGGAGAAATATTCCCCATCGTCAGCTGAGAGTGTTTTTTCGACCATCGATTTGAGTTCCGCGTCGACTACAAGACCTAAATAGGTCACAAATTAAAAATTAAATTAAGTTAAAACATTAATTTAATGCACTTGACTCTATTTTATTTCAACGGTCAAATAAACTATGGTTTACAGTAACGGATGTTACCGAAACTCAACAAACATTACCCAATAATTTCCGACGCTATATCGTGATTTGACCAAAAAAGTTTGATCTTTCTGCATAATCTGAAATGACCAGAAATGAGTCCCAATCTCTACTTAACTACTTAACTCAAACTTAACTAACTTCTAGATCTAGATTCTTAGATTCTAACTACTTTACTTTATTAGTATTAGAATCCAGTAGGCTACTAGAATAGATCTATCTTATCTGACTAAATCTCTAGATCTACTAATAAATTATAATTATAGAATCTAGATCGATCTAGTTCTAGAAAATCTATATTCTAGGGCAATATCTAGATCTAGAATCTAGTGCTAGGGAGGCCTACAGGTAAATCATCGTTTTAGGTACGTAAAATCGCCCGCGACTAGAAATGTGAAAAACAGGTGACTACTTAAATTTTAATAGTTCTTTCATATTTTGAGGCGGATTACGGTTTTGAAAAATACAAAAATGTTTTCTTGTTTCATTTATGTATCTGTTTTTAAATAATCAAATCAAAACTATTCAGTATTAGACGAAAAGTAGCGATGTTTCCAACAGATGCAACCATGCTCATTTACTATTGCAGCCATCTTGTTTATTTTTTCTTATTGTAAACTTATAGTGCAAAATTCAGGGGAAGCCACTCTAACTTTCAGATGGCCGCTTTTTATATAGCAAATCCTGCTCGCAAACACTGCTATTTAAAGTTAATTTCTTGCCTATATTTATATATTTAGCCATTGATTTTGGTTTATTATTCATTTCATTTATCTATACTATTTGACACAAATATAAATATATCACAATATACTTCTATTAAAGCCTTGACAATGAGGTAACTTTTTCGTACATTACTAGCCGCGGGCGATTTTACGTAACTTAAACGATTGATTACCGGCCTACTACTAGTACATCTAGATCTAGAACTTGTAGTGGACGTCCTACGAGTAGGATCCTTTATTTTATTACATTTACTATACTATAGGCCTGCTATTTACTATTTGTTTACAAACTTACTAAATAGTAACTATTACTAAATAATATTACATGACACATGAAGTATTTAATTAGAATATTACTTTTTATTAGTTTGTAATTGTAATATACTTTTGGGTAGGCTATAGGCCACTATAGACTATAGGGTAATTAATACTGCTAATAGTCTATATGCCTACATTTATAGTAGGAAACTTTATTTTATTACATTTACTATACTATAGGCCTGCTATTTACTGTTTATTTACAAACTTACTAAATAGTAAATATTAGGCTACTAAATAATACTACATTACACATGAAGTATTTTATTAGAATATTACTTGTTATTAGTTTATAATTTTAATATACTTTTGGGTAGGCTATAGGCCACTATAGGGTGATTAATACTGTTAATAGTCTATACATTTATAGGTAATCTATCATCATTTTAAGTAAGTAAAATCGGCTGGCTAGTAATGTGAATGGAAGGTGACTCATTAAATTTTAGTAATTGTTAGGAGGATTTATGTTAGTTCACATCCAGTGACTGATTAAAACACCCAGTGCTCTTGGTAGTTTTACGTTGAGTGCAATCTAAAAATAGGTAGCCTATCAGGAGTATAGTATAGATAGTATTGGTAACTATTAATTTTAATAATTTATAGGCCTAAATCAAAATTATAAAAATTCTAGCCTAAAAAAAAGTTTCATCACAAATACATAATTGAGTTATAGAGTGATAGTAAGTAATATAACTAAAGAAGAGTGTAAATTGTCAATATAGAATTTTTAAATTGTCATTATCTGTTATAAAAAATAACATATAGAAACTTAGATATCATGACATATATTAAATAATCAATTAGTAAACTAACTATTGAGCGTAAATTTAAATGTACAGATGATATTTATTAGGCTTTTAAATTAATTAATTTATTTTTTGAATAATGACCACATAGCATAACAACATAATTGGGCCTAAGCATTACTTGCAATTGCATTTATCATAAGGCAATTATTTACTACGAGCCGACCCACGGCATATCATATGCCGCTATTTAGTTGTTTTATTTTCTACTTTTTAGTAATCCATAATTTGTGAATTCGACAGTACCAATGCTGCCACTGAAAATATTTGCTTTAAAACACTATCAGTAGGTCGTTAAGAACGATACTACCCCCACCCTCTTTTCCCCCAACCCTCCTTTCCTCCAAACCCCTACCCTACACCCCCCCCCCCCTGTGAAAGCAGCCTCCTCACAGTTACCTCCCCTAAGTTTAAAATAGTTTCAAACTAAATTATCTGCCCCTAATAGCCGTCACTAAACCCGGCTCTACTAATGTAAACATTTAGCCTGAACCACAGCTCACCAGATCATGTAGGGGTGGGGTGGTAGGGAGCGCACTTACAGCTTGTTTTCTAGCGTCTCCCAGAAGAGAATTATATATATAGATTATAATATAATTAACCATGTTTATATTAAGCTGCTTATCTAAGAGTAACTACTAAAAATCTAGATCAGTAATGGAGCCCAACTATTGTAAAATTTAGACTGTTTAGCACTGAAGAAAGTCTTGTTGTTAAATATCATTGTTTGTGTTTCCCTGCAAGGACTAAAAATATTTCTCATTCAGACTTTTATTAGAAGAACCTTAGTTGTCAGTAACATTTTCTGTCATTTCTAATATTGCAAGAACTTTACATTTTTAATTTAAAGTAATTAATATTTCTCTTTCAGCTCTAAATGTTTGATCAAGTGGATACCTCTGATTAATTTAATAACTCTAGTGTTATAGAACAAACAGAAAATGAGAGAGCAAGTAGGTCACTGTGACATCTGTTCAAGACCATTTTCATCTTTTGAAAGATTACAAAAACATTGGAATAAAAAGCACACGGAAGTGCAAGCCATAAGCTGTTGCTTTTGTGATTTTATAGTTAAAGAGGAGCCATTGTTTGCTAAACATAAAAAAGAATTTCATCCAAAGGATAGGATGGCGTGTGAGTTTTGTGCATATACCACAGGAAAATGGAGTAAGCTGAAAAAACATCACACCCATGTTCATGTGGCTTTCTATAAAGAAAACATTGCTGCTGAATTACTAAAGAAAAACTTCAAAAAGAAAACAGTGTTATCTTCATGTAAATTCCCAACAGAATACAAATTAATTTCCTCAAATTGTGGAAATGTTGAAGTCAGATGCTCAATACTGAAGGAGAAAGAAAATGTATCATTAACTAATGAAAAGATAGCTGAGTTTTACCACAATAAATTCAAAACATGTGACAAATTGCAGTTAAATCATGAAAATAAAACAACAGCACCTCAAAAGTTACAGTTATATGAATGTGCCCTGGAGAATTGTAAAACTTGTCAACTATACCATAATGGTAAACAGAGAGGCAGCGAGCCTCCAGCAGAGAATTTTGTGTGTGACATTTGCCAAACAAGTTTTAAATCCTTATCTCATTTGGCTTCTCATAAAATTGTGCACACTCCCTTGAAATGTTACATATGTTGCCACTGTGATAAAAGTTTTAACATTGGAGATGAATATGATCTACACTTGACAAGACATTTTAGGTTTAAACCATTTAAATGTGAATTTTGTGAAAAATGTTATGCAAATAAACGTTATCTTAAAGATCACATGAGATTGCATACTGGAGAATCAATTCACAAATGTGAGAAATGCAATTACATAACGCCTCATCTGTCTCGGCTAAAGCAACATCAAAAGATTCATCTAAACCTTCAATCAGTTGTTGGTGTTGAAAATGTACAAACTTGTGATAATTGCCAAAAAAGCTTTGTTTCTATAGCTCACCTTTTGTCCCATCAATTGATACATACACCTTTGCAGCTTTACATATGTAGTCATTGTGACAGAGGCTTTAACTTACCAGATGAATATGACCTGCACCTTGTAAAGAGACATTTCAGGTACAGACCTTTCAGATGTTCATTGTGTGAGAAATTTTTTACCAGCCAAAATAATTTAAGAGTTCACATGAGCATACACACTAGGGATTTAATGTATAAGTGTTCAAATTGTGAATACACAACAAATGATAAAACTACTTTCTCAGAACATAGGAGAGTTCACTTGAACAGTAAGCCTTTCACATGCAATGCTTGTGACTATTCAACAGCTTCTAGAAGTTCTCTAAGAGGTCATTTAAGGACTCACTCTGGTGAGAAGCCATTTTGTTGCAACCTATGTGACAAACGATTCAGTCAACATGTAACTTTAATCTCACATAAACGGCATATTCATCTAGTTTAACCATACTACTGAAGACACACTACGAACAGTGTTATGATGTGTAGTTAATCAAGGTATGTTGGTGTTGGTGTGAAAGATATAATGATGACATAATGATGAAAGATAGTGACGTTTTGTGTAGAAACTGGTTGCTGTGTATTGTGTGTGAGTTAATCTTAGTCTTGGTGAAAGGGTGTATATGACCAGTGTGACTCAGTCAGTAGCGTGAATTGTGAGACATCCATGTGGATGACGATTATAAGCAGAATGTGTATAATAAATATAAAAAAACACCTATTTTCATCTTGTCAATAAAATGTCACCTGTGTCGTCTAGACTTGTAATGGTACAATGACTGCCTATGTTGTCTGATATTCTCACATGGTAATGAACCAAGTAGTTCAACCCTCTCACAATCGAAAAATATATTATAAAACTGATGTGCTTGAAGAAATGTAAATTTATGCTGAAATTTTTTTAAATTTTTTTATTGACATTGGTGTAAAAACACTGATGTTTTTTTTTTGCATGCCTCCAATTCTGTTTATACCCAATCACAGCTAGATGAGGGGGGGGGGGGGGTTGTAAAATGTTTAAGCTGCTCAAGTTACAGCTATTTCCAACAGTGGGCTTGTGTTTATTTCAATACCATCATACTGTAAAGTTTTTTTTTTTTTTTTTAACTTTTTAAAAGTTTTTTTTATATCTGCTTGTCACATATCAAGAAATGTATTGTGTTATTTATTGGAAGTCTGTGTTACCTTCTTTCTATTTGAAGCTTATCTGAAGTTTTGTTAACTGTATTTTCTTATATAACTAGTAATCTGATTTATGTAAACACATTTACTAGTAATAGTTAAGCCGTACAGGCTTTTATGTTTTTTTCTTTAACATATGATAAAGCTTTTCTATTGCTTATGATACACATTGAAATTTATTGGACACATAAGAAAATAAACTTGTTAATTAACAGTTCTTCTGAAATATCTGCAGCTATGTAACACCTCGTCAATCTCTGTTGAGGCTACATCATAGGATTAATTTAAACCCATAACAAGACAAATGGTGTTGAAAAATTACACACTATATTCTTTATGTCATCTTATCAACTTTAAATGTAATTATCAAACCAATACAGCATTTTGATAGTAGTGACAGTTTAATTTTGGATGATGACTGTTACACTTGCTTTTCTTTTAAACTCTTAATATTATTTAAGTTATTTATTTAAGTTCCTGTAAATTATCAAACTTTATTTAAATTACCACAAGTTCTATCAATTTTAAAAAGCATTAGTATTTTGCACAATTAAGGTCTTAATGTTTTGTACTGGGCTTTATGCATCAGTAGAAGTGATGTCACAATTAGCAGTCTTTTAACACTATCTTAACCAAATTCTCCTCTTTATTTCTAAAGAGCTAATTATTACACAAATATTTATTATTAATTTATTATTTTTTTTTTTTAAATTTACATTAATTTGGTTTTAAATTGTAAATTAAATAGTTAAATTCTGTCTAATCTGAAATATATGCCTATTTCTGTTTTTTTTATTTTTATTTACCTGTTGGATTCTTTAAATTTGTTAATTATGTTTATAAATTTTGACATAAATTTTTTTCTCAGCTGTAAACATTATTGTTGAGATTCATTCCTAATTGCGTTTGTGTTGAGGTTGTATTTTTCATATTGTATGTGGCCAGCTATTAACTCTTTTGTTAAATAAACTAATAGTATTTACAAAATTAAGTCTCAAACTTGAATGCAGGTTAAATTAATGTATGTGGCATGTGGTTAAATAAACTAGCAGTATTTACTAAAATAATTCTCGAGTTTGAATGCGGGTTAAAGTCAGTAGAACGTTCCAGAGTTTACCCAGCTCAGATGTGTACCTGACTCACATTATGGAAAGCAAAGACGGCTAGGCATAGTGCTGACCACACTATCCCTTTAGGTGCTGAAGTCTCTGAAAAATGAACTCTACTTCATGTTCTTGGACACGAACGGGAAAAGAAGATGATGATGATGATTCACATAAAGACTAAGAACAAATGACCATATTTCATTTGATGAGACTAAACCTATGTAATTGACCATATTATCTATCTACCTTCCCTAGGTCAGTGCAACCGTGGTGAAACCCACGGTGGTTAAATCTCATCCTTAACCTTAGTCTAAATAAAAACACAAACCACTAAAAATAAAACAAAAAAACGTTAACAATTTACAGAATTTATTGCGTGAAATAAAATGGAACAAAAAATATATAAATTAAGTCAAATTCAAAACATCCTAATGCAACACTAAACAATCACCAAACAAACAAAACACAACGTTCAATGGGATATTATGTACCTTCGGTACCTCGGAGTCTAGGCTCTGAAAACACAGACAACCATCCTTACCAGTATTGCCACCGAAACGCCATCTAATATCCGCACCAAACATCAAACAAAACAATCCATACAAATCAAGCCAAGTTGCACAAACAACTTCACTGGAAGGGGGAGGGGAGAGAAAAAAGAAAAGGAAAACATAATAAAATGCATGGAAAAATATATATACATCAATATACATATGTTTAAATACTACTGACTACTACTAAAGATATTTAAAGCCTCGAGTAAAATACTAATCCCTACTACTACCACTAATCCTAGAATACTAAATCAATTCTCAAAACCACAATAAATCACTGTCTAACCAAGAAATTAGCCAATTAAAAATAACGTGCAATTAAAATCATCATTATAGAACCAATTTATCCTACACAATGAGCAGCACGAAGCCATTGGTCTACCTATACAACATCCACATTGATAACAATAAAGTTAACACACCCCGCTAAGGCCCCAAATAGAGGTAGACACAAAGCAAGTGACTCAACAAGACGTTGTAAGAAACATCACACACATTAATTTTACAGCAACCTAAAACTCGAGGCAAACTAAAATACACTCATTACTGTCTAAGACAACCACAACAAAATTACTTGTGACTGAGCCCAACTTAGTCATTGTGGGGAACCCACAATAACAATACTTTAAAATAAAAAAGTAAAATACACAAACACACTCAAACCAGTTTGGGAAACCATCCTAAACATAGCGACCTAAACCACGTGGTCTAAAACACGCCAAGGGTTTTAGAAAATACCAAAATACATTTCAAATCTTTCAAAAAAAGAACACACCACGAGTATATAAGGCAAGCCGATGCCCACTATCTCTTTTTAGACGAAAAAGAAAGAAAACGAGAAACATCGGCAATCGCTTTCATACAAATCACACATATACAAATACAATAAAAAACACAAATACCTTCATGCACGAGGTGAGCCCACACAGAAACTGACCTGATCTACATCTCGCCTCGGGTCAAAAGAAAGAAATTATCCAAGCGGTAAGTTTTTATACTGACCGCTTCGTGCGGAACGGGAAACCCTGTAGCCGCTGTCAAGGGGACCATTCACGCAGATTCGCACACAATAAAATAATACAAAATAAGACATCCATTCACCCGCTCACACTGACATTAGTAACAAACAAATGTTGTCCGACACTGACCTTACCTAACTTGCAAGTACAGGCTTTAGAGCATCACAAGAGAGTAAAATACACCCCAGCATTCAAACACATTGGCCTCATTGGAATGTACATAGAGAAAGTGTTGTTAGAAAAACAATAATAATAAAATTTTACACACACTTTAGCCATTTTATTTCTTAAAATTTTCATGTTACAATTTCTAATGATTCACTACATTAGAATTTACTTTACAATGCTATTTTCTTAATAGTAATATTTTTAGTAAGGAATACAGAATCAAATAATAACTAGCAAAAACTTACATTATGTTGAAATTAAGATAACAAAATGTAACAATTGCAGCTCTAGTCTTTCTTTTCTTCAAATTTATAATTTTTATGCTGTTTTTGTAAAAATAATTAATGTAAATTTATGACATTGAAATGTGTGATTAATCTTAAAATGGTATGGCCTATATGAATATGTGAAGAAAATTATTTTATTATCTTTTCAATCACATAGTATGCAGAGAAGAGTCTGAGATTTGGCATAACGTTCATATTGAGGTGTGAAGAAAGATAAAAATCTATATATAACATGTTACAAATGCATTTAATTTAATAAAATAAAACATTTAGCAAAAGTAAGGAAGTGACCATAAGCCTTAGCAATGGTTGGAGCAACATGAAGCTTGGGGTTAGTTCCATAAGACATGTAAATAGTGGGGAGGGAGAGGAAGTTTTTACATGTGGTCAGTTTGAGTTATACATTGCATCCAGTAGAGTTTGGTCATAGGATTTGTGATTCTATACCTCTCAATATAATGATTAAAGGCATTTAGCAAAAGATGAAAAAGTTTTTACAAAAAAATTGCTGTCTGCTCAGAAGTTTTGTAAATAATACATTGAAATTGAACAGTGTGTTTTATTTTAGTTAGCTTCTGTTATTGTTAATGTGTAATTGGTTTGATCAGAATTGGTAAACTCCCTTGTACCAATGAATGTGCATTGTCAATTTTATAAAATTTGGAAAGAATAGGCAAATTAACAGTGTGCCTAAAAAAACCATGCGGGTGTAAAAATAAAACCCTGGGTCTCTAAAGTGATAGCTTACTTCTTCTATCATACATATTTACAAATAACACAAAAAGAAGTAGGATACATAAAGAAAAAAAAGTACACATGCAGCTGAAATAATAGAATAAGTATATTTTTTACAGTATGTATAATAATTGTCAAGGTATACTCTTTGACTAAAGAATCTTTTCATAATACAAATACAAAAATGTATTAACTATGACCCACTTTTGGTTAACCACTAGTTAAATTTATGTGCAGAGAAAAAAATTATAAGAAATTTTATAATAAAATTTGCTATAGATATTATGTTAAAAAATGACATTTAATTGCTTTCAAGTCATGATGAATTTCTTTGACAAAAAAAAGAAAACATTTCCTTACCAACATCATATTCCTCTGTCTTATTTATAGAATTAATTTTTTAGAGTATTTAAATTAGATATTTAAGAAAATCTTTTGAGAAAAACATAATTTAGACTACAACTTCAAGAAAATCTTTCATGACAAATACCACATTCATGTAGCTTGTATCCTGAATGAACTTTTTTATGTGCACTAAAATAAGAATGTTGAGAAGCCATTTATAGCCAAAAAAAGTTTTGTAAGTGTAGTTAAATAACTACTCTAAGTAAATCATTTAGGACAAACATCAAATTCATATGGCTTTTCTCCCAAAAGAACAAAATTCTCTCTTAACAAATCCAAGCAAACCTTATAGGACAAACATCACATTCATCATGATTCCTGTGGCCTTTCATCTGAATGAATCTTTTTATGTTTTCTTAAATTAGAACTTTGAGAAAACCTTTTATGACAAACATCACATTCATAAGGCCTTTCTCCTGAATGAACATTTTTATGTTCTCTTAAACAATCACTTCGAGAAAACTTTTTATGACAAACATCACATTCATGTGGTTTATCTCCTGAATGAACATTTTTATGTTTTTTTAAATGAGAATTTCTAGTAAACCTTTTATGACAAACATCACATTCATGTGGTTTATCTCCTGAATGAAACTTTTTATGTGTTCTTAAATGAGAACTTTGAGAAAACCTTTTATAACAAACATCACATTCATGTGGCCTTTCTCCTGAATGAACATTTTTATGATCTCTTAAATGAGAACCATGAGAAAACCTTTTATGACAAACATCACATTCATGAGGGCTTTCTCCTGAATGAAGCTTTTTATGTGTTCTTAAATGATCACGTCGAGAAAACTTTTTATGACAAACATCACATTCATGCTGTTTATCTCCTGAATGAACTTTTGTATGTTCTTTTAACTTAAAACTATATAAACATCTTTTCAGACAAATATTACATTCATATTCAGAATGAACAATTTTGTGTCGCAATAGAACATTCTTATCTGCAAAGATTTTATGGCAAACATCACAATCATATGCATGTTCTACTGTATGAATCTTTTTATGTTGATTTAAGTTAGAACTTTGAGAAAACCTTTTATGACAAACATCACAGTCATATGGCTTATCTTCAAAATGAACATTTTTATGCATATAATTTTTAGAACTTTGAGAAAATGTTTTATGATAATAAACAATTTTATTTTCGTTGTCCCCAGACAATTGTAGATTTTCTTCAAGTCCATTTTCTTGTTTATTCTCAAAAAATAAAAATTCTGTTGTGAAATCTTGTTTTAAATATTCAGTAGTTGGTTTTAAATTTTCAGATGTTGAAAATTCTGCTGATGCAGCAGGTTTTTTATTAATTTTTTCAATCGAAAATGTATTATCAGGCTTAACATCTTGATAAGTTTTAAATGACATGTTAGGTTTTATATCCTGGACATTAAAAAATGATAATTCTGGTTTTATTATGTCATTAGAAGAAGAAAATTCTGAATTAACATCAGGTTTAACATCTTGAAAAGTGTTAAATGACATGTTAGGTTTTATATCCTGGAAATTAATAAATGTCAATAATTCTGTTTTGATGTCAGCAGAAGAAGAAAAGTCTGGTGTAACATCAGGTTTAACATCTTGAGTGGTTTTAAATGTCATGTCAGGTTTTATATTCTGAGAATTATAAAATGACAATAATTCTGTTTTTATGCCAGCAGAAGATGAAAATATGGTCAATAGATCTGGTTTCAAATCTTCAGAAGATGAAAATTCTGTTAGTTCATTTGACTGTATATCTACAGTAGATGAAACTGCAGCTAACACATCTGTTTCCACCTCCATGCTGGGCAGCTTCTTAGATATGAACTGATGATTAAAAAATGTAAATTTTAAACTGGTGATAAAATAACCAAAACAACTTATTACTAATAACATTGCAAAATTTGCAACACATGCCAGACTTGTCTGATTACTAATGATTACTCAGTCAGATGTTATTTTAAAATAGACAACCAGTAATGCAAAGCAATCAGGACTGCAGATTAATATCTTGAGCTTTCAGTTTCTTAAAATTCTTTTTAAAAATAGAAATACTAAGATATTAATAATAACAAAATCTAAACATGATTTGCTTTTGTAATAAAAGTTTTAAAATTAATTTTAATTAAGTTCTAAACTGTCATAAACAGCTTTATAAACATTTGATTTCTTCAGGCAGCTTGGCACTAATTTGCACTTAAACTTAATGTTTTTTTAGTTTTTAGACAATATTTGTACACAATAGGACTTGTTCTTGTTCTCTCTCACTTAAATTCAAGTCCTGTTAGCCGGGGAGAGATAAAAAAAATTGAACTAAATCAATTGTTAAGAACAGGATTGATATTGATAACAAAAAAACATGGCAGCTTCAAGATTTAAAAATCAACAACAGCTCCCATAATGCAACAATTGTAAAAACTTTCAATGCTATTTTATTCGTATGGCTGGGAACTAATATATGTGCATGTATAAAGTTTTGTGTTTATGGATTTATTAATTTGTTTACAGGTAGTGCAATGAAGGCTAGGGGACGTTATTGTTACTCTACTCAACTGGCGCAGCTGCTTTAAACTACGGAAAGAACACAACACTAATAGTGTCATCTTCCAATTTTACAGTATGAAGAAATGAACTATTTGATTTAGATCTAGATTCTATAAATCTACTTATCAAGATGTACACTATGAAATATATAAAATTTTCTATGTCAAAAGAATACAAATTACTATAAAAAACAACATAATGACCATTGAACAGCAGGATTTTTAACAGAATCATTTAAGTCTCCTAATCAGTGTGTGCATTTAATATGGTGTTGTGTTGACTAATAATGTATATAATTTGGTTTTAATTTTTCTAATAGGTATTGGTAGCGTATGTTATTTTAAATGTGTCGGATTTTTAGCTATTTCTTTGCTTTGTCACTAATATCGTTCAAGGTTACATTAAAATAAAATGATAAAAAAAATCAATTAATAGACATTTTATTATAGTATTAGACATTAGATCAATATCTTTCTAGATCTAGATCTAATCTAGTATGGTTAAAGAATCTTGGGTTATTTCATTATTTGTAGTATTAGTAATTTAGTATTGTATTACACTATTTGGCATTAGGACAGTAATATTAAAAATAATTAGATAATTACTAGAACTAGATCTAATTACTAAATTAGTCTAGTATATTTATTAGTTAAAGATTAGAGGTAATCTATCATTTTAGAGTAATTAATTCTGCTGGCGCTAGTAATGGTAGTAATGTAGGGATACGGTAACTAATGAATATGAATATATTATTGCATAATGATAGTGTACTAAAATACTTAAGATAATTGAATATTAAACCACAGTTAAGGGTTAAATCAATAAAAATTTCCAGAAATTAACGTTTAACAACGATGTTCCAGATACTAAATTTGCTAATAAAAACAGCAGCCATCTTATGAAATGGAGGTGTTGAGAAAGATGACGTATTTCTTTTTTTAACAGACGAATAAGAAATAGATTCTATTTCTCCGACAAACTTTAGGTTGATCTAGGGTTTTTTTAGAGGGAGATCTCATTATAGAATGGGTGTTTTTTGTTGTTATTATAATGGATGGTGGGGATGGGTAAACATCGACCGCTGAACAAAAAAATTGGAAACTGATGAAAGAAGGAAGCAAACAAAGCAAAAATGCAACAACCATGTAGTATACTAATGTAACTAATTAAACCTATTTTATAAACACATTAACCATACTCAGAAAAAGTGGAGGCCTAAGACTAAGCATATTGGGAAATTTTTCCTAATTATCATAGAATGATAAAATGGACACAGATTAATTCTATACTATACCCCATTGATAAAAATACCAAATTTATCATTCTAGGCCTAATAGTTTTTTGTATATGAATTTTCAAAGTTATGTGTTTAACTTGTTATGTTTCATTGTACACTGAATTTGAAATGTGTGATTGGCTTTAAACTTGCATACCAATGTTGCTATTAAAGATATAATGATAAAACTTTGCACATTTGTGCTCAAGGATATAGGCAATAGAAGTCTACAAATAAAATAAAAATTAGAAAAAAGATAACTAGAAATAATGAAGTAAAATTAAGGGGTGTGGCACTGTTCTATAGTGACTGCCATAAGAGGATTTCCAGACTGCACAGCAAGGTTGCTATTCCATATACCATCATGAAACTTTAAATATTAGGACTAGAGAATGTATAAAATACAAACATGCAAGTAAAATAAACAGAGCTAGAGGAAAAGTATAAATAGTGAACTTGAATATGGTACAGCACAATTAGACTAAGATGATTAACTACAGGATAATATATTGTACTTCTTTGCACTATAAAAATAAAGATTAAACTTTACATATTGATTCTGGTGTAAGTAATAAGAATGCTAGTATACATATTGTACAGGTAATGTATTGAGTTAGAACTTACAAATATAGCATAATGATCAAGATACTTAACGATTTGCCATAAACATTGTATTTGTGTCAGTGTATGACATGGTAAAATATTATTAATTTAGAAAATTTTGGTACTTGTTTCTGATGAAAAGTGTTGAGATGTGCTAAAACTCAAAGATTGACATTTCACAGTATTCTTATTAATAAAATGTTTACTGAAGTTTATGTGTCCTTTGATAAATTCTTAAAATGACATTAATGAAACTGTTCATGTTTTCTTTCTATTTTAGTTGCATTTAACTAAAACTGTTATGCAGTGCAGCTTATAAAATTGGGCATTATCATTTATTAATTTAGACCCTTTATAGATCTAGATAGGCCTGTCAGTATTTACATTTAGGCCTAATAGTTTTTTTATATATTAATATTACACATCTCTAGACCCAGTTTTCATTTCCATTTAGATCTAAATTCTATTTTATTTTAAATTGTTTGCAATAAATATAGATTTATTTCTACTTGAAAATGCCTTTATAATCTATTTATCTGCAATCGTTAATTCTAGTTTGCAGGATCTTGTTACTGGTATTAAGAAGGTTAATAAAAATCTGGCTAATTTAAAATTTTATAATTTAGGCAGCAATTAATTACATTCTTTCCATTTTTAATTTAATAATTTAGTTATAGATCTACAGTATATTTATTTTAAAGCCCATTTTATTGTAACAGTCCATATAAAAACAAACAGCTATTAAAAAACATAGTATGCGCATATCTATTAATATCTCGTAACTCAGCCGTCATTATGAAATTACGCATGCTTTCTTGTTCCTACCCTACGAGTTTTATCGCGCTACTCCTCATTGCCCCGTGCTTAAAAACCCTTAAAATTGACATTTCTATTTATCCGAATGGTTGGCATGCTATTGAGACCTATTTTCATGCAATTTAGATGATTATTTAAATCTGAAATTTAGTTTTCAATGCGCCAGCTAGGTAGCGTCAGCATTTTGAATAATATTTGCTATTATAGTTGATTGCTTTGGGTATTGGACATTGTAAAACGGGAGCTAATTCATTTATTAGTATGTATAAAAGATGAAATACAACTCAAATATTCATATCGAATACATTTTATTTTTTGATTCTAATGGCGAGAATTAACATGTTAAAAAATGGCAAATTTAAACAAGTACGATGAAAGAGTTTGGATGTGGTCATACAGAATCAAAACAGCGGAAGTTGAAATGCCTAGCCTAAGACTAATGTCTACAGACAAATAACTAGGCTTAAATGGATCTCCCCTAAATGATGTCATACTTTTCCAGATGATTTCCCTCTCCCTCAATAGTCACTCAAAGTTAAAAGCAAGATGATGATTTAATATATCGCAGTTCTACTACTATACCCCAACCCTTAATCACAGTTTCTAATGAAAACGAATAGCCTATGTTCTTCATAATTGTTTTTATTCTATAAAAATATTTTTAAAAAGATATTTTACCTCTCCCTAATTTTTAGTTCAATGTCATTTAGATCTATGAGGCATGAGGAATATAGATGCCCTTGTAATTTACAAGTTAATCAGCCAAAAGGGTTTAAATGTTGGACCTCCCAAAAGTTTTTGAGGTCTTGGATGTTCATACATAGCGTTTATTTCAATTTAAATCAAAGACAAGAAGGTGGCCCACTGTCCTACTTATTTTAAACAAGACAGCTAGGTATATTAAACAACAAAGTCAACACAATATACATACAAATACTCTACATTCTAAATCTTTTTAGAAAGATGGTCGCTGTTTTTATTTATATATAGTAGGTTGAATTATGGATTTTTTAAAATAAAACATTATGTTATTTCAAATACACCATTAAGTTCCTTACCCCTTAAGAGAACATTTGACACCACATTTAAATATCTAGCTTACTCGGTTGACGAGAAAAGAGAGAATTTGAAAATTATCTGAGAATGGAAAATGAACGACAAAACAGCGTTCTTACTCCTCGACCGGCATAACATGACGTCGTGGACTTTTGTCCACGAGCTTTTAATTCCCGCCATGGTAATTGCGTCAGCTTAGGTTATTTACTCACCGGAAAATAACAAAAAGCAACTGGTTGATAATTAAAACTAGATCTAGTTATTTTATTATTTATTAAATTCTATTCTACATGTTATTCATACCATTTTATGAAGTAATGAACACCTGCAAAAATCAAATGGCCATAATAAATATTTTTATTTCAAATTCTAATTTTAAATAATAAATATGCTTAAAATAATATGATAGTAATAGTTAAGATAGTTTATAAATACAAATACATTTTACACTCAATTCACATTATGGGGATGATTATATTGAGTCAACAGTGTGGCAGCTGAGGTTCATACATGGTATTAGTGTCTTTTTTTTTTCT